ATTGTACTCGGCGTAAAATTGAGCGATTGTGAATCTTGGCGGCAAGTAATTATTTTGTTGTTACATAATACAGTGAAGATTATGTCTTTTATAAAAATCATGGGACTAATCAGATGAAAAATTTCTTTGAGATAAACTTGGATAATATGACTCTTTACAATACAAAAAGACATACTTTAATTTTTGTTATCTTTAATGTTATATTGGTATCTTTCCCGTGGCGGAATAGATATAGGTAACTAATGTAACACTATTAAGATAACAAAAATTAAAGTATATTTTTAAAGATGTCCATCTTACTCAAGTTTAGCTGTGTATTTTTAAACACAGTATTTTTAAATTAATTAAGAGAAAAAATCCTATTATTTCGATTAAAATGAGTCTTAATATTTAATAATATTCATAAGGAAATTTGCAAATACATTTTTTCAGTTCGCATAAACTGTGCACCGATTTGTTTGCCGGAAAGAAAATGAATTATTTCTTTTATTTGATTTATCAATCTACTTTTTATTTAAATAATATTTTTTAATTTTTATCAACAACAACACTTATAATTAATCATGTGATTGTATCCAATATCCTCTAGCTAAGCATTGCGACTTTTGCCGACCTCAATAACTGAAAACTCAGATTCAAAATAGGAAACATTCTGACAGAATAAAGGCACAATTCTACTTAAATTCTTTTTTCGGAGAGCTTTTTAGCTTTTTTATATAATATTGATCATAATAGAGAAGTATTGTAACAGATAACTTCTTAAAGACATTACACAAATTTATTTGATATTGTACAAATTTGTGTATAATAAAAAAGTAATAAGTTATTTTAATTTTTAAATTAAGATTTTGTAATTAGACCTTTGTTCTGCCCATTCTCTCAATTGAAAAAATGAACAATATTTTTAATATTTATTTGGGTGCAGTAAAGATTTAACTCTTATCTAAATGCTTCGCGCGTTATAGAAATAATATAGGCGTATGACTCAACCCAATTCGATTGCTTATAACTTTCATAAAAATGTACATATTGCTTACAATGATCATAAAAATGTACATATAAAAGTTTTTTTTAATTAAAATGTCAAATACTAAGAAGCATAACGGTACCAAACTATATACGTACAAAAAAGTTATAAGCAATAGAAAAGCGAGGGAAAAGCATTAGAAAAGAGAGAGATATGTCATAAAAAGATGTTTAAAGGTTAACTATCCACGTAATTATCTACAATCAGCAAATAGGTCATATTGCATACAATCATCTTGCTTCTTTTTCTTGTTATTTTGATTGATTTGATTTTAATTAAGTGTTTCATATTTCAAGACAAAAAGGAGATAATTTAGCGCCGCCCGTAAAAACGTTATCCGCGCAAAAATAATCGAAATTAAAGATACGAGTGTACGCGCGAGAAGAAGGACGTATGCTTATTGAGCGCGGCGAACGCGGATTTGCGCGGCGCAACGATTCTTCCTTTCTCCGAACAGTTTCGCGCGCGGGGGCTCACAGGCTCACTTATAGTCAAGGCGTGGTGCGCCATAGTCGATTGCGCCCAACTGGATCGGGCCACAGACCGAATGTGTCCGTGCCTCTCACTGTATGTGACTGGCATGCCACAACGTTGATTACAGAGCCCTACCTCGGCGTCACGATTTTCCACTAACCCGAATCAGATGGAGGAGTCATTAGCCTGTACACTCTTTCAATGGTTCGGACAGTTGCGAGCGCATATACCGTGGCCGACGATAATGACGACGTTGCAAGTCTTCTCGTCGATTTTGTCGAAACTCTGCTGCGCGCAGAAATTCTCCGCACGGGTCCGATAATCGCGAATCGGTTTGTACCACCGATCAAAGACCTTTCCTATTTTCAGGGAGCGCTTAGAAGCGGGTACGCAGCCAATTTCGTTTCCCTCCGATCGTTGGTTAGATAATCGAACAGTTTACCTCGATTCTAATGATCGGGCGAGCGTCTAAAAATTCAGAACCCGGAAGAATCGAAAAGCTTCGAGAGCGACAGTGTCTGGTTTTGTCAATGATGGCGACGGATAGTTACGGATTTCGCGCTATTCGTAAAAATTCTGCGTGTATCGATTTATTCTCTTTGCTCTCTCTCCTCGCTCCATCGATTTAAACGATTGGTTCGTAGAAGGTGACGAAAACACGAAAGTGGGATATAGAACTGTACCTCTGAATAGCTAATCATCTCATTACAAATCTCGCGAACTTTATGTTTGCAATTGAATTTCGCGACTACGAGCTTCGGCTGAGCAATCAGACTTATGAGAGACCACTTTCGCATACTTCTTGACCACGTTTGCGACATCGTCCCATTTGTCATGTGTACGCCGAATTGAGTCCGGCGGCTGTTTCGTCAGCACGCAACGCGCTACGTCGTCGTCGTCGTCGTCGGCATTGAAGAAAGGCGTCAACATTTTATCACGGGGTCGACTTGGAAATTAATCGGCGCACACCCAAGAGAGCACACTGCAGCCATATCGTTCGGCTCGAAAGTCCTAGAACGTGCCTTCCCATCCCAAGGACGGATCGTGTGCCAATCGTCGAATATTACCAATCACCTGGTCTTCGCGAAGTCGAGTGAATCGATCTTATCGGCGCTCGACTGGCGCGAAGCCATTTCAAGGAGCGAATATTATCATGCGGAATCTAACGATTACTTCGTATATCCGTGTCCGAACATAAATTCTCTTCATTATTCTCTAAACGGTGCTGATAGTAAAAACAAAGATCGTTTTATGACGACGATAAAAATTAAAAGACAAGATACTGATTATGTACGCATTATTAACAGCATTAATTGAAGCGATTGAAGATACGAATCTAAAAGCCTGAGAAAGTAAAAGGCTCATTAATTCTCCACGCATCATTATATAAAAACGTTAAACCTGCGTTCCTGACACTTTCGATTGACTCAACGCAATCGAAGAATAATAGACTTTTTTTTTCTTCGCGTGTCTATCTTTTATATTATTGTAGTCAGCAAGAGATACACGGCGTTTCCTGTGGGTCGTCACTAGGTGTGGTTACCGCCGCCTGTCTTTTGTGCGCGCGCGCGTTTTGCTCTCGACTTGGTTCAAGGAGATCCAGAAGCGGCTGGCATGGCGGCGCGGCCGACAACGACAGCGAAACATGCGCGTCGAGTTACATTACGACGCTCTGAATCTGAATCTCTTTCTCTCTCACGATAGGCACGCCGACTACGCTCTTGCCTCGCCCGTATTCGGGTCAGCCGAGTAGTAGAAATTACGTAACACGTGTGCGCCGGGGCGGTTCCCACCGAGAACCGCCTTACCGGAAGTCGAGATCACATTTTGTCAGAGGACTCACGGTCAGCCTCGCGGAAAAAAACGCGTGAGCGTTTCGTTCCCATAAGCGGTAGAATGATGAATTCCGAACTGGGAAATATTGAAAGGCTGTTTAAATAATGACTCACAACCCAGATAACAAGCTGATTGAACATTTGTCCATTTTTCTAATATTGTTAAAATGATGACGAACGACTTTGCTACTTAGAAATAGAATAATCTTGGAAATAGAAATACAAGGAAAAAATTCTTCCTTACAAAAATCTTGTATATAATACGTATCTCTCTTTTAACTAATTTACAAAATATTAACATCTCTCTTTTCGTCAACTTCATTAAGTGTATGTATTTTTGTAATCTTTGCTAGTACAGCATTGATTATTAATGCAATAGCAATTGAGTACATTGTAAATCTGGATCATTAATAATCTGGTCGATCAGATTTAATTTATAAGATCTGATAACCGATTAGTAATTCATAAAGGAATTTGAAGCATTCGCGACAACAAAATTCACGTTATAAATGGAATTTAACAGACATAGTCGTGGAATCAGAGCAAATATAGATGTAATCTAGCAAACTCTAACCTTTTACGACGTAGCGGCCATATACTACTCGTGCTCTCGTTTAACAGCCGCGAAGCCGAGCATTCGGTCGCATTCGAGTGAGCGATAAGGAATTTTACGCGCATACTCACTGATCCGCGAAACTCGCTCTCTCCTCGCTCCATCTTCTGTTTCCTATTGACTATAAGCGTATCTCTGTAACGCGGATCTGGCTTTGTGCATAGAAACTAGACTAGTCGGCTAAGACCCATATCCATTCCATCTCGACATGGCTCCAACAATTTCGATTACGCTTCTCGCGTGACACGATAAAACCACGTATCTCCCCCATGCGCCGCAAGTAAAAAATCGCCAGCGTCTGACATGCATTGTATATTTCTACTTAATGCCACTGATACGTGTTATTAAGTTTCAGTTGTTTCTCGAAGCACATAAATGTCGAGGTCAGATTTCTCAAATTCTTTCCCATTACTTCATAAGATTATTTCTCTATAAAAAGTCAGGTTAAATGTATTATATCGATTAAATGTAGTGTAAAATGATATAATTCTGAATACGATATACAATTCCAAACAAAATAAAATTTGAAACCAATTTTCAGAATTCAAGTTTGGTAATCTTAATATTATATGAAGGATATTAAAGAACAAAAAACTAAACTTGAATCTCGAAAGTGAGACGCGAATCTTATTTAATTTAAAATTGTATAATATTCGACTGTATCATCTCACTCTCTCTCTATATGTTTAATATAAAAATATTTCAAAGTGATAAAAAGTAGAAACACTGATCGTGCACATATTACAAATATTGTTTCCTTGAAAAATTTTAGAAAACAAATATTTTACCTACGTATCTAATTTATTCAGATTTTAATAGAATTAAAAAATTTACAGATTGCGATTTCCGAAAAAAATCGAAAATGATCTCACTTCCTGTTTTCACTTCGCCTTTTCTAAAAATTTCGATCTGACAAGAGCACCGACCACTTTCTTCTGTGCGCAACACGCGTAACGTCGTATCAACACGTTAATGATCATATCCCCGCACACTAATACTCTCGCAATAGCGTGTGTGTTGTCTACCATAGTAAATTCTTCTTCATTGCCAGGTAATCTCGGCGTGTCTGCTCGTCCTAACGGAAGCACGGCGAATGCAGATCCGGCCTCGCGTGACAGGGCCTCAAGTGTACTACGAAGAAGAGGACAATCAGGCCGCCGAGGACGAATTCGACACTGTGGCAGTTTATCAGCCGCGTACTCGCGCGCTTCCTTCGCCACGATCTAAGGATGCGCTGCATGGATCAAAACCACCACCAGTACAGACAATCAGGAATTATAATAAGGTTAATGACGACGGATCCTTCACCTTCGGTTACGAGGCGGCTGACGGTTCCTTCAAGGAGGAGACTCGCGGTACCGACTGCGTCGTGCGCGGCAAATACGGCTACATTGATCCAGACGGCAATAAAAGAGAATTCACTTATGTCTCGGGCAATCCCTGCGATCCAAACGCACCAAAGGAAGAGGAAGAAGAGGAACCTGAAAAGGAGGAAGAGGAGCTCTCTGGACCGGCGAATTATCCCGTGGTCAGGCCAGTACCTCGACCAGTCTCAGTGAGACCCACGTATCATCAACCTACTACTCGTGCACCCACTACGATTTTCCAGACCGAGTATCAGCTCGATGATGATGCTAGCCAAGAATTGACCGAGGATGATCTGAAGCCGCAGCTGCGACCATCAGCCTTTAGAAGACCCTCGACCTTAGTGCAAGTCACGCCTTCCACCGCCATTTATGAATCTTCGCCGTCCTCCAATCCATCTCTTTTTAGGCTAGCTTCTACTCCGGCCCAATATCAGACTACTGCAACGCCCGTCCTCCGTAGCCAGCCTACAGTCACTTCGAGCGTTTATCAATCGCTCGAGACCACCACTCGCCGACCAGTGACCCGTCATCCCTCAGTCAGAGCCCAATCAGTTGCAATAACCCCCCGACCCCATGTCGCCCAAGTAGCCGCGCAATATGTCTCCCCTAGTAGCACGGAACGTCCCGACAGTCTGCTCTACGCCCAGACCCATCCCACGATATCACCATTGCGCACTACGACCGCCGCTAATGCGCCCCATCTTGATTTTGCCGCCGAGCTTGAACGTTATGTGAACACAGTCGGCTCGCACGTTTCCGCAGCCCCTGCGAGGTCCCAGACCGCCCAAGCATCGCCCCAACCTACTTCGAGAGTTAAGTTGACCGGTCAGACGTCGGTCACCGCCGCCTCCGCAGCCGCTGAGCCCATCTACCAATCGGAGCTCGTGTATGATCCCGCGACCGGTCAGTACAATACCCAACTTTATCAGACACTACCCCAAACCGTGGGTGACTTTAGCCTCAGTCACAAACTCCAACCGTTCGTAGCCCAGTCCCAGTCCCTCCTCGGTCTGCAGCAGCTGCAGCAGTACCAGCAGGCCCAGCGTCCGGTCTATAAGCAGGCCCAGTCGGCGCCCACCCCAACCATAGCCCAGCCCCAGGAGGTGCTCTACAGGAAGCAGCAGAGCCAGCTGTTGCAGCAATCCCAGCAGCTCTACGCGCAACAACAACGTCGTCAACAGCAGCAACAGCAACAGCAGCAACAACCTCACAGGCTCCAGCTGCTGGATTCGCAGAGAGAACCCCAAGCGTTCTATTACGTCGCGCCCTTGAAGGCCTCCGCTGCTCCTACGTCCCTTGCAGTAGGTCAGATCGATCAGTTTCTTCGAGGTAGCCGCGCTAATAACTACTGATGCAATATAAATCGCGATTCTTAAAAGATCTTTCTAGGATCCTCGAATCCCTTGTCGATATTTATCATTTGATATTGCCTTGAGTGTCCCTCGCGAACCGAGAATTTCGCGCTGATTACATCATAACGTCGGCTCATGCGTATACAGAGGGTATTACAATATAAGTACATGCATTATATATAAAGTATAATATCTCATGTGGCGCCGAAGCTGGGATCAAATATATCGCCGAGTGAATGGCACATACGAGCGCTTCGATGCATGCGTTGCACGCGGGAGAATGCGTGTGCGGTATATATTTAATATAATCAGCGCGACACGAGAAAGGCGCACGAACATGATTGCGATAAAAAGAATCGCGATAAAGGCCGTAGATTTTTATTTTAATCGCGCGTTGCAGGAAACGCGGACTTTCTGAGAAACATTCAAAGTTTATTATTTAAACGGATCTTGCGGTCTTCCTGTAATTCTTATTTTGCAGTAATGTGGGATTTTCTGAATTACCTTGTTCTTGATAGCGCTTTCATGCTTTGATAGTCCTATATATAATTATGTATATATA